TGTGATCTCATGTTGGTCTAAGCTTCTTTTCCAGAATTACTAATTGATCTACCCAAAACTTTCATTTGATCACCTCTCCCATAGGTCGCCGATTGACTCAGATTAAGCCCATCAGGGGCCAAAGGCACTTGAGGCAAGAAACAAGGCTAAAGGACTAAGGCTGCATTTGGCGTGGCTTAAAATAAGCGTTTTTAGTGCTTATTGCATTTTAAAAGCCAAAAGCACATCTAAAAGGCTAAAGGCGTAGCTGAGGTGTAGTGGCCCAAAAAGGTGAGGCATAAATTTCAAGGCGTTGTGAGGTGTAATATACCAAGTTAAAACAATAGAAGTTTATAAGCAATAAGTTTTACCTTTTATGCATTAAATAAAATAATAATTAATCATCTAACAATTATAAGCATTTTACATTTTATGTTTCAAAATGCAATCTTATGAAATTATTCATATGAAGAATCATCTGTATAATGGGCATTAGATTTATGGTCCTCCAACAGTTGTGAAAAAAGAAAAAATGTAGTTGATTTGATCTATGTAGAAAAAATCAATAAAAAGAAAAATAAATCCATTAGAAAAATTAATGAGAAAACCAACAAACTTGGGATATTAAATTAGAATATTAAGAAAAAAAAATCACTTGATTTATCCAAGAGAAACTAATAACTTGATTCACCTTTTTTTTGCATTGAACTCTCTTAGGCTAAAATGCTAAGAGAAACTAATAAAACTTGACTTGTCCTATTGGTTTTTTATTTTCTCTTTTTATTTGGCCCATAATTATTAAAGTGTTTTTTTATATATTTTGAACTATAAAAAATACTTAAAAATATGTTTTTTGTTGCATGAAACCACTAAATAATGTTGATATTTGAGGCTTATGCGTTTTTAGTTTTTATGCCCCATGTTATGCCTTGAGGCTTGAGGCTTATGCCTCATTCTGACAAAGGTTTAAGCCTCAAACCAAAGTTGTGAGGCTTAAGCCTTGAGGCAAAATCTGAGCACCTCGCCTCAAAGCATACGCCTCATGCCTCAAGGCTTAAACCTTTTAAAACAATGGTGACTTCTTGCTTCTTCCATTTTCAAAATGCACTTTTTCATTTTTCTCATCCTGGTTTTCCCCATTTAAATATTTCTAAATACCCAGAACACCCCCTGTCTACTCTAAAACCCTTGCCCATCTTCCTCCTCACTTTTTTCCTCTTTCCATTCTCACTTCTCATCACTTACAGCAGCAGTAGACTACAACCGAGTTCCATTTGTAGCCATTTTTTCTTGTTTTTTTCTTAAATAGTTGAATGAATATTAATTCTCACCACTCTATCACACCCTTTGTTTTAGAGAGAATGACAATTCAGCCCAGGGTCAGAAATTTTAGGCCCAAAGTACAGTTGGGGTAGGTGCCAGCTCAGAATTGATGCCAATTCACGGGCGGGCATTGGTGTATAGAGTGGGGGTTTTTGACATTGGGAATGTTTATAGATCTGCAGTAAAATTCAGAAATCTGCATTGGGCATGTCCGTACTTCTCCGTTTCTTTTATTGTTGTTTGTTTTGAACCAAACTCCTCCAACAGTGGGTTTTGCGAAGAACCAGGTATGATTCATATGTTTTCTCCTTTTATTCATACAATGAGCATGGATTGATTGAAACCCCATTGCCATTAGAAACGTTGGTTTGTTTTTTAAATTATATCAAGTAATGTGGTTTGAGGTCAATTAGACAATGTGGAGCTTGTATGAAAACCTCAATGGACTTGGCAATTTATTGGCAGCAAAAAATGGCATTTAATAGGCATAAAATGTTGTGTATACATGTGTTTTTTTATGTTTATAAATGATGGAGGGTAATATTGTCTTTATATTTACAAAAGCCCCATTTAGAACCAAGTAATGCTCATAAATAAGTGTTTTTTTCATTAGATAAAGCACCCAAAAAAAGGACCTTACCAAGCGGATTTTAAGCACTTTTTTAGAAGCACTTCTTGAAAAAGTACTTTTAAAATAGCCCCGTAGAGGCAAGAAGAAGCCCCTGCCAAACACAGACAAACAAGCGAGGACATAGTGTTCATTGAAACGTTTCTGATATTTCTGAAACAGAGAACAACTATTTTTTGTTCCTGGAGCACTAGAATCATTCCCGTGCCAAAAAAAGTGTCTAATCCAAGCCAAATTTTGGCCCAATAGGCCTTTTAATTGAGAACAAAACCGACCCTCAGAAAGCCCAATAGGCCTTTTCTTTTTCAGACAAACCCAACATATCAATACCAAACTCCTGCAGAACCTCTCAAGATTCTTGAGCAATAGAACATCAAATGGGCATTTAAACTAGTAAAGAGAATAATGTAAAAAAGACATTTAAACAACATATTAGATACAATGAACTAGACTTGAACCTATAAAGATTAATTACTTCCATAAAACTCTAAGGAGTTGTTTGGTTCATCACCCACTTTTGCTCATTATTGTCTAGAACAAAATTCCAAAAGCAAGGACGAGTAGAATGACCAAGACTTTCTCTGAACCATATATTTTTATAGAATGAATAAATGATGATTTTATTTTTAATTTATGACAAGAATGAGAATAAGAAATAGACCCATTTGATTATAATTCTTATCCTCATTCCTTACTTAACCAATTATATTCTATTTTGTATTGTGGGCCTCACGTAATTGCTTTGTTTTTCTTTTTTCTTTTTCACGTACTTGCTTTGTATTGTGAACCCAAACATATGACTTCATTATCCCAGTTAACCCTGTTCTAAAGGTATTCTGGAGTCCTGATGGTGTCACTGGAGACTTGAGTACAGCACTTGTCTTGAGTTTCATCTGCCCACAAAGGATTGATTCCCTTATAAACTTACACAGTGCTTCCTGTATTGAGCGGAGCTGGAGATCATTGGCACATATTCTCGCCTTTTACAGTTAGAACTACAAATAGTAACAGTTTGTCCTAATCGAATCCAATCCAATATTATATAAACAAAATTAACCTACATTGAAGCTTCGACCTTTTTGTTTTCTAAACTGCCTCTGAAGTTTCATAAATTATTAAATTGTATGTTTATAATGTGTTTAAACCTAAATTATGGTTATTTGAACATTATATCATTCTTGAGATTCATATACGAGTTTCTCAGATATATTTGCATATGCCATCATCATTCCACTTAAAGTTCGAAGTATCAGAAATGGGAAATGCAAAGAATGAATACATTACGGAAAGACATGATACTGAAAAAAACTTATTACCAATCAACCAACATCATAAAAGTGGTAATTAATCGAGTGGGCTTTCACCAAAATTCACCACGGGTGGGGTCAATAAGTAGCAAACCAATATTAAATTTCATTAATATAAAAAATAACCAATTATAATAATCAAATATCTCAAAATTTAAATTATTAAAATTTATATAAATTTAAACAATTGTTATATGGTGTAATAGTAAAAATTTAATCTTTAAAATGGATAACCCAGGTTTAAACCTTTATAACTCAATGAATTTTATGTGCCCTAATAGGACATAATTAGAAGGTAAGGATATGGTTACGAATACTAATGGCAATGACCTCATTGGTGTAGAAAATAACCAATTTTAATAATCAAGTATTTAAAAACAATATAAAAATTAAGAGGAGGGGAAATAAAGAGGAAGGAGGAAGAAGAAGATGAAGAAAGATCTCATTTTTCTTTATTTTTAATAAAAATCTTTTATATTAAGAAAAATGAAGATATATACCACTAGTTGAAAGAAGGGGTCTTGTCGGAGTGGAGGTGAACAAGCAAAGCGAGCAAGATTCCCTAATGAATAGTAAGGGAAAATCTTCGAACTTTTAACTAAAAAAGGTTCCATAGGTCAAATTGAAAAAAGTAATTTTACTTTGTAAACTCGTCAAGTAAAATAAGTGTGTAAGGGCAAATCTAACATTTTGAATTATGTAGAAAGATTCCCTAATGAGTAGTAAGGGCAATTTTATAAATTCCAAGTCGTTACTAACACATTGACAGAGAAGAGGTAACTGCAGGTTATTTTAGAACTACAGGGAAGGTTTTTGTTAAAGTAAAAGCATCAGGGAGGTTTTTATATTATACTTTGCACCCTTGCTTTAAATTCAAGACAACCGGTGATTTGCTTTATGATGGTGTTTGGCATTGATGTAGCTTTTCGGAGCAACAGTGCCAGTTCAGCAAATGCCAAAAAGTTATTTGATTGAACCATTTGTCAGATAAATGGCTCTCTCAAAACTTGAGAGACGCTTATAAAAAAACGCCAAATCTGATGCTTTTCATTTTCCAGACTCTTTTTCACTGTTTGGTTTATATGACGCCTAATGGCGTTGAGGTGTAAATGCCATCGATACCAAAAAACCGTAATGTTAGCATCTACTGCAACATGGTGCAAAATTCTTGTGACCACCCACATGAACGCCCTAGAGATCCACCAGAGTTTGTATGGCCATGGTCACAGCAAATATGAGCTCTTGCCTTTTGGTTGGATTTCTAGTTTGTAACTTCCCAATAAAACAGACATGATCCCCCATTTATTTTAAATTCAGAACTCCAAGTGGGGCTGCATAAGCTAACATTTTAAAAAATAGGATATACAGCTTGTACCTGATAGATTAAGGGGCCGTATAAGTCTTTTTAAGATCTTCTGATAGATCTGACAGTCAAAAGATATTGAGCTTTTGCATCAAGATCTGAACAGCCTGAAGCCCATTTGTATGTTTTTATGCACATCTTTCCGTGCAAAGATGAATAGAAAAATGTAAAATCTCCATTTGAATCTTTCTGAAAATCGCCCGTTTTGGACTTGCATCTTTTTTGCACATGGGCTTTTGGCGGCTAAATTTACTACAAACCAAGTGGTAAAAGACCGAATTGCAGTCTGCCAAGCTTGTAAATAGCCAACAGACCACGTAGAGAAACACATCAAACTGAGCCTTAAGAATGATAGACACAAGATATCAGAACATTTCAGCAATTGAATTCGATTAGATAATTATGAAAATGGGATTGCTTTATTCAGAATCTGATATCCATCCAAGTACGGCATTATAGTTTAACTTGCTCCTTGGGACCAAAAGAGACCAGACTCTCCATAAATAAAAGGATTGCACTTTGACATCATTCAGACCTCTATAAGCACACAAACCTCTTAATTATATATTCGTTTTAGTCCCTTGATTTGTTAAATATCTATTGTTCAATCAAGTCTGATTTTCTACACTAAATCTCGTTTACAGAACCCATTAATTTCTGTAGTAACAATGATAAAAGCAGGAAGACCAGCTCTAGTGGATAGAAACTAGAAGATTTTGGGCTTCTTCCATCCTAGAACAAAGCTTCTTTATCTCACACGTAGCCTTCAGATAGTGCTTTAGTTTGAGGAACATTATAATGTTAAAATTCAATATCAATCTACCTTTCCATGCTTACCTTCACCGGTTCTCAAGAAGCGAGAGAACCAAAGGGCTGAAGATTTGGGGTGCCTAGAAAGCCCGTTCTTGTAATCCACATAGACCAATCCAAAACGCTTTGTATATCCTTGAGCCCATTCAAAGTTGTCCAAAAGGGACCATGCAAAATACCCTCTCACATCTACTCCATCCCTGTCCATGCATACATATGTGTTATATGTATGATAATCCAATTTCTTATCCTTTGTAGGAAAGTAAGAGACTGGGAAGATATTTCATGATATTCTCATATAAAATAGACTTGCAGAAGACATTACACACTTGAATATCTTAATCTATTGTTCATTTTTTATCAAAAGCAGATTTAATTTTATCAAGATAAAGCATGAAATGAAATAAACTTACCAAAAAGATAAAGCATGAAATAAATGCATTATGTAATTTGAAGAGCTATACTCGAAGTAGCAAGGAAGAGAAGAGAACCACAGAACTGAAGAGAATGTCGAACTGTACTATCCAGTC